AATATTTATTCATTTAATTAATTAATTAATTTCTAAGCCACCCTATTAGTTGGAAGGCTCTCAGGGGAGCTCACAACTTAATACACAGCAATTAAAACAGCATGACAATTGAACAATTCAAGTAAAACCAACAATAGCAATAAAAATCAGTAATAAAATAACAATAAACAAATAAACTAAGAATAAAGGAAAAGAAAATGAGGTAAAACAAGATGAGAGGGGGATATAAAATTAATTTTCAATAAATTGAGTCAATTAAGACTACCTTAAAAGAAGAGAATAAAATCAGTCTAGTTAAGCAAGATAAAATGTCTGGCACGAAAATCACCATATAGTAGCAGCAGATCACAATAAAAACCATTACAACATTATTCATCTTGAAACAGTCATGAAACAAAGGTTGTGCAACCTCACCTGGAGTCCTGTGTCTAGTTCTGGGCACCATGATTTAAGAAAGATGCAGGTAAATTAGAAAGGGTCCAGCGAAGGGCAACAGAAATGATCCAGGGTTTGGAAACCCTGCCCTGTGAGGAGAGACTGAGAGAACTGGGCATGTTCAGCCTCGAGAAGAAAAGAGTGAGGGAGGCCACGGTATCCCTCTATAAGTACCTCAAAGGCTGTCACAAAGAGGAAGGTCAAGATCTCTTCTTGCTGATAGTGTTGCTTGCTTGTGTTGGGAAAATTTGGATAAATCCTGTCTGAAAAGCATTACTCCTGTGTGCCTTTGCATTGTGGGATCAAATCCTGTCTTCCTTCTCAAAACCAAGCTGTCATTGTTTAAAATGGCATTCGCCTGCTCCTTTCTCTCACCTTTAGCTGTAGGCTACAGCAGACAGGCCATTTTAGCCCAAATATACATTGTAAATAGTCATTGTTGGAATTCAGTTTACAATAATCTTTTGATAGCCCAGAGGGCTTCATGTGCCCTGATCATGCAGAATGTTTAGAGTCTAGATAAGGGTCTGAGCTTATCATGAATAGTTTCTAGTAGCTTGAATTTGCATGTCTGAGCAGACCTGGAGATGGGTTCAAGTTACTCAACTAAAGTGTCAATACAGACAATTAGAAATATTGTAATCTCATTGTTACAGTGTGATTGACTGACATTCCTTTATCTGTTCTGCATGTGATGACCTCAGAATCTTATTGTAATCTCTGCATTCTGTCCTCAATTGCCCTGTACCTGTGTACCTATAAATGCCTTGTAATGGTGTTGAAGCTTTGCAGCAGAGTTCACCTCTGCCTGCCCGGTAATGCATGCATTATCGTGAGTACCGCGGGAACCTTGGGTAATACAATAAAGCCTCAGATGGTCTGGATGCTTGGTCTTTCCCACGAACCCGAGTTTTATTCCCTCTTCTCAAATTGAGATTACGGGATTCTGACACTTGCTAATTGCGAAGTCGTGTCGGACCCATCGCGGCTCCATGGGCAACATTCTTCCAGGCCTTCCTGTCCTCCACCGTGCCCCGGAGTCCACCTAAGCCCACACTGACTGCTTCAGTGACTCCATCCAGCCACCTCATCCTCTGCCGTCCCCTCCTTCTTTTGCCATCTATTGTTCCCAGCATTAGGCTCTTCTCCAGGGAGTCCTTCCTTCTCATTAGGTGGCCAAACACAGAAAAATCAATTCAGGTTGCAACAACCCAAATTCAGGCTGGGCATCAGGAAAAGCTTCCTCATGGTCAGAGCAATACCAGTGGAACCAGCTGCTTAGAGGGGTGGTGGGCTCTCCCACACTGGTGTTATGGAGTTACTATAACTACCAATAGCAATATCGCATTGCTCTTACACTTGCTGTTCCTGTCCTTTACCTTTGACCCGGATGCAATAACACAGTGCTTCATGACTCCTCGGACTAACAGCTTGCAGCGTCGTCCTTTCTGTACATGAAAGATGGTGTCAGAAGTGACTTGAATCTGGATAGAGCCTCTTGTTTGGAGTGCAGCAGCCCCGGGAACTGTAACTCACTGATTTGTGAGTTACAGTTTGAGACCGTTCATTGTGCGTTTTCTGCTACTGGAGGGCTGTGAGGCCTACCGACTGCATGGCTGCCATGAATTGCATACCTCCCCCAGAGGGGATGAAAATCGGTGGGGACTGTAGCAGCAACTGGGAAACTTTCAGAGCTGGATTTGAGGATTATTCCCTGGCTACAGGGCTGAATGCGAAAACTGCAGCAGTGCAGGCAGCCACTTGAGAAGAGTCATGGGCAGTGAATGCAGGCATGTGTAGAAGCACAATCTGAACCTCTCAGCAGAGCAGCAAGAGAATGTTACAGCCATTCTGGATGCACTAGAAGCTTATTTCAAACCTGCTAAAAATGTCATTTATGAAAGATATGTGAGCCGCCCCGAGGCTTTGGCGAAAGGGGCGGCATAGAAGTTCCCTAAATAAATAAATAAAATAAAAATATGTGTTTGGATGCTGCAAACAAGAGGAGGGAGAATCCCTTGACAACTTTGTTACTCACTTACGAGAAAAAGCAGCTACTTGTGAATATGGCACCCTGAAAGATGAACTAATAAGGGATAAAATTGTTCTTGGTATATCTAGTGAGAGCACACGCAGGCGTCTTCTAAGAGAGCACGACTTAACACTAAACACAGCTATTGAAACGTGTCGTACAGCAGAGCTTACTGACAGACATCTGAAAGTGATGGAACAGGACAGAGTGACAGCATAAACGTTGCAATGCAGCGACGGCACATAAGCAAACCACAAGGACAGCAACACACGCTTAGAGCAAATACTGCCAACTCTACAGCATGCAAATATTGTGGGACTGTGCATCAAAGAATTAAAGAGCAGTGTCCAGCATATGGGAAGTCTTCTAGGTCTTGTGGAAGAGCAAATCATTTCGCTAAAGTTTGCTTGTCAAGTAAAAAAGTGTCATCTGGGAAATTACACGCTATGGAGGATGCGCCTGCATATGAGGAGGAGCCACGGACCACTGAAATGATATACAGCAGTGAATTAATCGGTGCTCTGCAATCCAGAGGAAAGAAATGGTTTGTCACTTTAATATTAAATAATAAGCCTCAATCCTACCAGCTCGATTCGGGAGCAACATGTGATGTGATGTGCTTAAGAGACAAAATGACATTAGCACCGGAAGTATCTCTACTGCCAAGTGACACCAAACTAAAGTTATACTCAGGCGAAATTATGAAATATCTTGGACTGTTCAGGACAGAATGTGTCGTACGTGGACTGACACACAAGCTAGAGTTTGAAATTGTGGAAGCTTCCCAAAAGCCACTGTTATCTGGCTCAACCTGCGAGCGTCTGGGGCTGATGCATTTCTCCATCCCTGCAGAGCTCAATGCGATGGACAATCAATTTAAAGGGCCCTTGACAAAACAACTGTTATTACAGGAATTTGGTGATGTTTTTACAGGGCCTGTTGAATCTGTTCCAGGGGAAGTTCATTTTGACCTTGATGTGAGTGTCCTTCCAGTCCAATGTGTACCATGCAATGTGCCAGTGGCCTTGAAGTAGGCAGTTAAGGCACAGCTTGACCGGTATGAGGCTGATGGTCATATCGCACCAGTTACCGAACCAACTGATTGGATTAGCAACATGGTGATTGTAAAGAAGCCTGATAAGCTAAGGATATGTATAGATCCCAAATTTTTGAACCAGGCCCTGAAACGATCTCATTACATAATGCCAACTCTTGAGGATGTTTTGTACAAGCTGCCTAAAGCACGTCTGTTCACACTTGTTGATGCCCGGGACGCATTTTTACAGTATAAGTTGGATACTGCAAGTAGCTACATGACAACCTTCTGGACTCCCTGGGGCAGGAAAAGGTGGCTCAAACTGCCTTTTGGAGTCTCAGTTGCACCAGAGTATCAATGTAAACAACATGAACTATTGGGCGGACTTAAAGGTATTGAACCAATAGCTGATGACATACTTGTAGTTGGCTGTGGTGATACAGATGGAGAAGCAGAGCAAGATCATGATCGCAAACTGCTGGACTTGATGAATCGTTGTAGGCAAGTGAAACTGAGATTTGGCGTGAAAAAACTGCAGTTCAAGGTCAAAGAGGTCCGCTTTCATGGTCATATCCTTTCAGTGGAGGGTTTGAAGGCTGACCCAGAAAAAATCAGGGCCATACTGGATATGCCGCAGCCGGAAAATGTGAAATCTCTGCAGCGCTTCATAGGATTTGTTACCTATTTGGCAAAATTCCTACCGCATCTCTCGGAGGTTTGTGAGCCTTTGAGAAGACTTCTGGACAAAGATGCTGTTTGGCATTGGCTTCCTAAGCATGATAAGGCAGTGCAGGAAATCAAACGTTTGGTCACGGATACATCTGTCCTTAAATACTATGACGTTACAAAACCGGTAACCATTCAAAGTGATGCAAGCAAAATTGGACTCGGGTGTTGCCTGCTGCAAGATGGACAGCCTATTGCTTTTGCTTCAAGGGCACTGACCCCTACAGAGCAAAACTATGCACAAATAGAGAAGGAATGTCTGAGTATTGTGTTCGCCTGCCAGCGCTTTCACCACTATCTTTATGGTCGTGACAAGATCACGGCAGAAACTGACCGTAAGCCTCTGATATCTATTTTCAAGAAGCCGCTTTTGTGTGCACCTAAGCGCTTACAGAGTATGTTGCTTACGTTACAAAACTATTGTCTCAATGCGGTTTATAAACCTGGATCTGAAATATACATCAGTGACGCTCTTAGCAGAGCTACTGCAGCAGGTGGTACATTTGAATGTACACAACACACCGTGTGCAATGTCCAACAGGACCTGGATGCCCTGTCACAGATTAATCATTCGTACTATGTAAACGTCACAGACCAGCGACTGCATCAGATAAAACAGCACACAGGAATTGACGAAAGTTTGCAGGGACTTAAATCTGTTGTTCGGACTGGCTGGCCAGATTCAAAGGAAGAGGTGCCATTAATTGTGAGAGAATACTGGACTTTCAAAGACAAAATTGGCATTCAGAATGGCATACTATATAAGGGGCCAAGAGTCATCATTCCTAAATCTTTGAGGTCGGAGATGTTGAAACGCATTCATGCCAGTCACATTGGTGGAGAAGCATGCTATAGGCAGGCACGAGATACCCTTTACTGGCCCAACATGCAGAATGAGATTAGAGACTTTGTTAGTCGTTGCTCAGCATGCAATGAGTATGCACAAGCACAACAGAAAGAACCCATGATGTCACATGTGCTGCCCACCCTGGCTTGGCAAATTGTAAGTATGGATTTACTGAGTTATGTGGGGCAAGATTTTTTATTAATTGTTGATCACTATTCTGACTTTTGGGAAATTGAGCTCCTTCCTGACCTGTCTGCTGAAACTACAATCAGGCGCTGTAAAGTACAATTCGCACGTCATGGCCTACCAGATAGGGTAATCTCAGATAATGGACTCCAATTTGCATGTGAGCAATTCAGAAGGTTTTCTACAGATTGGGGATTTGTGCATGTTACCTCATCCCCGCGGCACCCACAAGCTAATGGCAAAGCAGAATCAGCTGTAAAGATAGTGAAGAACCTTTTCAAGAAGTCCAAGTATGATGGTAGTGACCCATGGAAGGCCGTTCTACATTGGAGGAACACCCCGACTGAAGGCATGGACAGTGGTCCTGCACAGCGTTTGATGTCAAGGAGACTGAAGACGTCATTGCCTGTGGCCAACAAACTGCTCGAAACTTGTGTGGTTACAGGTGTTCTGGAGAAATTGCGACGGAGGAAACAAATCTCCAAACTGACATACGTCATGTCTGCCAAAGATTTACCAGAACTAAGCATTGGAGAGCCAATCCGTATGAAGCCACTTCCTGGCGACAGGACTGGTCGCTGGAGACTGGGTACCTGTGTTCAGAGGGTTGCCCCTCGCTCTTATGTTGTGGATGTGGACGGCAGTCTCTACTGTCGCAATCGAGTGGATCTGCAAGTGGCAGAACAACCCACCTCACAAACTTATGAGAGTCCTGCACATGATTCTCCAGAGGTGTTCAGTGCCCCTAGTCCCACTGGCCCAAGTAAGCAATATAGAGACAAGGCTACCGTCATATCTGAAGGAAACAATGAGGACGAAATAATGCAACCGCACATACCAGTAAGTTCTTCTGTACCAAACACACCAGTCAGGAAACAGGACAGTCTCTTATCAACACCTTCTGGAACTAAACAGCCTTCACCAGGCAAAATCCCTGTGGCCTTGGGAAGCGGCCGAGTTTCAAGACCTCCAGATAGACTTAATCTGTAGCCTATCTACTAATAGTACAGTATGTTATGTTTAAGATTGTTTGGGATCTGTTTTGAGTCTACTTGTTTACACACTGTTGAATCATATGTAAAAGAGGGGAGATGTTATGGAGTTACTATAACTACCAATAGCAATATCGCCTTGCTCTTATACTTCCTGTTCCTGTCCTTTACCTTTGACCCAGATGCAATAACACAGTGCTTCAGGCTCCTCGGACTAACAGCCTGCAGCGTCGTCCTTTCTGTACATGAAACAACTGGGGGCATTCAAAAAGCAACTGGACAGCCCTCTGAGTGGGATGGTGTAACATGGCACCCTGCAACAGCAGGGGGTGGGACCCGATGGCCTTCATGGCCCCTTCCAGCGCTACTATTCCACGATTCCACCAGCAGTCCTCTTCCACGTCAGGTGTAGCAGCCCAGATGACAGCAGCACAGGCTGCCGAAAAGACACTGTTAGCAGTCACTTGGGGCTCGATTCCTGGTAAGCCCTGCACAACCAACCTTCTGCAGCAGGTGCAGTCACGCAAACGGTGGCTACACATAGCACAGAAAACAATGCTACTTGCTCAACACATCGGACTCACCTCCTGGCAAGTACCCCACAATCCCCTGGGAGCCCTCACTCAGACTAGGGGCTGCTGCAAAGCACTCTGGGAGCCGAACCCAGGGAATCCAATGAATTCCTCACACATTGTTATAAATTTCATGGGTGGGCAGGACCGCAGCACTTTTAGACTGAGTTTTAATTGTCTCTGTTTACAATTTTAATGATTCTGTTATAATGGTTATGATTTAAATAAACTCAGTTTCTGCTTTTGTGTGGATTATGGGCTTTAGAACATTATTTCAGGGGTAGCCTTCCTTACACAAGACACTTTGAAACTGCCTTTCTGGTGGAAGGCCGTGAGCACATTTAGCAAATGAACTCAGACTCGGGCAGAGCAGTTTCCTGGCATTTCTTCTGGCCTAAAACTGCTTTCTAGTCATGTCGTGTGCAGCACTTTTGCCAGAGGCCCTGAGGGAATTCGTCTTAAGGCAAAAATACCACACAACGAGGCAAAGCCAGGAAAGGTGGGTTTAATTTAGCCATTTCAAACTTAAATTTTAGACCCTGGACTTAAATGAAGCTCTGAAACCAATGTGCATGCCCAGCCTGCCACATCTTGACTATCGTGTGATTCTTTGTGTGCTTGTCTTGAAAAATGAGAAAAGATACTTCAGCAAGCAGAATTAGTTCTGATGTGTCCTGCTATATCCATAGAATCATAGAATCCTAGATTAGTAGAGTTGGAAGGGGCCAGAGGACCATCAGGTCCAGCCCCTGCTCAGTAGGACTCCCAGTTGAGCCATCCCTCTCAGAGGGCTGTCCAGCTGCATCTTGAATGCCTCCAGTGTGGGAGAGCCCACAACGTCCCTAGGTCATGGGTTCCATTGTCATGCTGCTCTGCCAGAAATTTTTCCTGATCTGGCTTCCTGTAACTCAAGTCCATTGTTCCATTTCCAGCACTCTGGGATGACTAAGAGATCCCCTCCTTCCTCTTTGTGACAGCCTTTCAAGCACTTTCAAGTATATCTCCCCTCAGTCTTCTCTTCTCAAGGCTAAACATGCCCTGTTCTCTCCATCTGTCCTCACAGGGCTTTGTTTCCAGACCCTGGTTCATCCTTGCCCTCCTCTGCTCTCTTTCAAGCTTGTCTGCATCTATCTTCCTCTGCAGCGCCCAGAACTGGACACAGTACTCTAGATGAGGCCTCACCAGTGCCGAGTAAAGGGGACTAGTACTTCACATGATTTGGAAGTGATGCTTCTATTAATGCAGCCTAAAATAGCATTTGCCCTTTTTGCAGCCACATCGCATTGTTGATTCATCCTGTGACCTACATCATTTCCAAGATCCTTCTCACTTGAGTCAAGCTGAGCTGAGAATTCCCCATCTTATAATGATGCACTTGGTTTCTTTTTCCTAAGTCCATGCTGCTGCTGCTGCTGCTGCTGCTGCTGCTGCTGCTGCTGCTGCTGCTGCATCTGGCTGGTCATGGGACAGGGGGACTAGACTATTGGACCATGGATCTAGGCCCCAAGTCCAGCCTGGTGCCATTGGCTGGCTAAGCAGTCTGTCCAGGTCATTGGACATGTGATTAAACCAGAGCATAGCCACAGCTGAAGCCAAAGGTTGGGCAACAAGTGAACAACACTAGGTCCCAGTGAAGTCCAAGACAACCACCCCACCAAGCTTATCTCCCCAGCAGTAAAACTGCATTAGATTGGATTAGACTAGACTAGACTAGACTAGACAGAGCACTGATTTGCCACGCAATTGCAATCACACGCAGCAATATATTTATCAGATTACCTCTGAGTGACATTACCTCTTCAACTATCTTGGCTTCTTGTTGGTATGTGGGTGATCATGTTATCTGAACTCAACTACAACCCGAAACTACCCATCAAAAGAACCTATGGATTGTTGTTGGGTTGTAAGTCAGGGTTTGTTCTCTGCGTTTGTACGACATGGTACTGCATGTTTCAACACCATCTCATGATTCAGAGACAACCCATCCTCAACCTTTGCATGTGAGCTATTGTGTTGTGCAAACCTGGTCTTTATCTGAGTGACAGCGACAATACTTCTTTACATTGGTATAGAACATTCAAGTGGTCAATGTGCTTTGCATCCCTTATGTAGTTGTGATCCTCTCAACTCAGTATTATTAATAATAACAATAATATACCTTCAAGGCAGCTTTGTCCCCAACTCCAATCAGCCCCAGCCAGCATGGCCCAAGGTGGGACCTGTAGTCTAAGAATGTCTGAAGCCTAACGGAGCTTACTTCAGAGTTGAGATTCAGGCCAGGGGTTCCCTGACTAGCTTCATTTGTTCTTGCAGCTGCAAAAAGTGCGTCAAAATCAGCAAGGCAGGCTCTCGCGTGGTGTTAAATACTTTAACAAGGTGGCTGTTTTATGCTTCAAGTCACTGCAAGCCTCTCATCTATCATACAGACAGAGGGAGAATTGCATGAACCTGAATTCCAGGCATGGCTAGCCTGCCCAGCAAACCTGCTCCTCTGAATTCTGAAACAATTAACATACTGTTCATTCATAAGATTAAAGTCACAGAGATGTAAAACTGCAGCTGTAAAAAGTGCTGTTTTGCCATTGTTCAAGGGAAAAAACTTGACTCCTGTGCATTCTTCTGTGTGGAATACATAATGGACTAACAAGAGGCTGCATTCAACCACATACTAAATGCTCCTCGTTCCACATACGGCACTGACACTCAAATCCTATTCATTTTTTTATTTAAAACATTTATATCCCATCCTATACAAGAAAAGCATCCCAGGATGGCTTACAAAAGTATAACAATTGATAACAACAAATAACAAAAATTATAACAAATAGTAACAACAACAAATAACCACTGTAAACAGCAGAAACATAGTATCAACAAAGTCCAAATCAAAATCAAAAACAAAAAGTGACTGTGGATAATAAAACCAATTAAAATTTCTAATTCTTAAAATGACGGGTAGATAAAAAGGCTTTCACCTGGCGCCAGAAGGAATATAAAGTCGGCGCCAGGTGAACCTCTCTGGAGAGCGCATTCCAGAGTCTGGGCGCCACCGCAGAGAAGGCCCTCCTCCAGGTAGAGACCTTCTTTACCTCCTTCAGGGAGGGTTCCTAGAGCAGAGCCTCTCCCGCAGATCTTAAGGGGCGTGAGGGCATATAAGGAGACGTTCCTTCAGGTATCCTGGTCCCAAGCCATTCAGGGCTTTATAGGTTAACACCAGCACCTTAAATTGGGCCCAGACTTCAATCAGGAGCCAGTGAAGCTGACAGAGGACCGGTGTTATATGAGAATGACGACTGGTCCCCATCAGCAATCTGGCAGCTGTGCTTTGAACCAATTGAAGTATCCAAACCGTCTTCAAGGGCAGCCCCATGTAGAGCGCATTACAATAGTCCAAACGGGAAGTTACCAGAGTGTGTGTCACTGTTACTAGGCAGTGCTCGTCCAGATAAGGACGCAGCTGATGGATCAGCCGAAGCTGAAGGACAAATCTTAGTTCTGCATTGGTGAAAGGACAGCACCTGCACTGCTCCTGAGGGCAACAGGTTCCAGGTACAGAATAGACCATATGATACACGCAGTTCTGTCTTCCAATATTTCACTCCCCACACCAAGGATATGTTGGGAGAGAGGGCCAGCCCTCCCTTGCATGCCAGAATCCTCATGCCTAGGTGATAATGGAGGGTTTAATGGATGTTAAATATATGGGCCATTTGTGCACCCATAGGCACCTGCAGAGAAATTTGGGCTTCCAGACAGCATGATAACCCTTCCTAGGGTGGCCTGCAAGTCTCTAGCGGGTGTCAAAAACTATTCCAGCAATTTTCAAGGAAAGAATTAATTGCACAAAAAGGAACAGGAGTATTTTTGGTGACTGTTGATTGGCATCTTTCACCTGCCCCCGCAAACACTCTCACCCAATGTTTCCCCAGGACAACAGTAGTTCCTGGGAAGACCTCCACTGGTGCTCAGGGTAAAAATGGAAAGCAAGGGGAAAGATAAGCAGGCCCCTCTCCACCAGGAGGTAAAAAGCCTGTGCTAAAGCTGAGTGCAGAGGCACTGGTAAGGGGGCAGGGAGGAGTGGAAATTGTTCATCAACGGTTGAACGACACATTAGCACCACTGCTTGGCTCTGGAGAAGGGGCCAGATGCCCTCAACCACAGGTTGTCACAAGCTGGCAGCAGAGCCCGGAAAGCTCTTATTACTTAAGTGCAGGCAAACAGCTGCTGAACGGTGACTTACCGGGCAGGTTCCAGGCATGAAAGCAGCACTTCCTGCTGTGTGCAGTATCACCAGTGCTGAATGAGGAGTTCCCACAGCTCCACCGCTGCCTCATTGCATTCAGCATGAGCCCTGTCAGTAATGGATGAGGTCTGTCCATTTCACACTGCAGTGCAAACTTACCAGCTTTGTGCAACATGAACAGTATTGGCTATTGAATTCTGTATGTTTTCAAAGTTTCCAACGTTGCTTGCAGAAACAGCTCTTTGGGCCATTTACAACAGTCCTTAACATGACTGTAATATTATAAAAGTGCCATGATATTTTTATTTATTTATTTATTAAAACATTTTTATGCCACCCCATTCGCCGAAGCCTCGGGGCGGCTTACAACAATAAATTAAAAAATAATTATAATATTAAATTAAAAATATA